TGGTAGCTAGTGATGATCATGACCGTAGGTGATAAGTTTTAATCTGACAACACTAGAAAATTTTTTTTGATCAAAGGTCGGATTACAATCGATCTCCCTTGTAAAATAGATTTAGAATCATTAATTTAACGTTAATACATTTTTTATTTAATACTTTATTCTCAAGTTTATTTAATACTTGTATTTAGACAATAATTAAAACACGTGCGTATGTATCATTTGTCAAAAAAAACAAACATTCGAAACATGTGCGTGTTTACCTTACATTGCATGTTTGTAATGCAAGTAACGTATTTATGTACCTTTGCTCATCATTTTAGTATCGATCTCTTAGTTTAGAGTATGAGCATGTTATACAGGGGTAAAATAAATAATTGGTTCAAAATAAGATAAAGGTAGGTAGGTACGAACGAGCATTCGTTACAAAAAGTGATGACAAAAGAGAAAAAAACGAGATGTCGCGCGTATAATGTATGTAATAATAATAATATAAACTTTCTTATTGTTTCATTGATGTGATACGTTTCTTCTACCATTGTATCGATTTTTTCGGAATTTTAATCATTTCAAATCTCTATGTATTTTGACGATATGAACTTAATTAAAAATGACCGAATTTTTGATTCGACAGGACACAAAAATGCATTATACAAATTTTTATTGTGTGGTTTTTGTTTATTAATTGATGTATCCTTTTGAAAACGTGTCGAGATTAAGGAGAAATTTGTCTAAAAATTTGCTAGCATTAAGAGAGACGTTTCAATCAATTCTATAATTCCCATTTTCGTTTCTTCAAACAAACTTTGCAAAAAACATGTTTGTTATCATATTGGTTGGATGAATGGATGATTGATTGAAAACCAATCTCTTGTTAACGATTTACAATGCGAAGCGGGTTATTTTCAATTCCCGTATTATCGTTTATGTGGTGTGTGATCGGAGATACATCCAATCGCTTTAATGGGCCGGAATTGCATTTTCGTCCTACAAACCCAACTTTCACATCCCAACGACACAACCAACCAACCAATCAAATTCGATTCCATCTCGACCTTCCCAAGTAATAGCTGCTGGTTGTTCACATAAACGCACTTTTGAGCTTTTGTTTGGTCCCCCTAGTTTTTCAAAACTTTGTGTGAATGTGTCCCTTTTCTTTTTTCTAGGCGGCCTTTCCTTTTCATTTCCTCGTCTATTTTATTTCTCTCTTTTCTTTTCCCTCTGACAAATTACCAAAGTCTAACTCTCTACTCATTAATAATACTACTCTCGAATTTACGAGGAAAAGAGATATATAATACTTATTTTTTCTTAGAAGTATTTTTGTAATTCATTCCTCATCTCTACAACTACCTAAAAAGAACGATAGACCAGAAAGAAAACCTCATTCTAAAAATAGACCATACTATAACTTGAAAATTAAAAATGACAGACATTGCAGAAAGGATAGCGGCAGCACGAAAAGAGGCCGAAACTTTAAAGGAAAAAATCAAGATGAAAAGAGATGCCTTGGCCGACACCTCACGTATGTACTCAATATTCTCTCTCGTAGTCTTATCACTAGGCTTAGTATTATTTCCAACCGTTTGAGGTACACACGTACCTTTCAAGTTTCCACGATTTTATCTTTCTATTAATTAAAATATTATGTGTATGCTATTTCCGTGCAGTAAGGTCAATGGCCAACGAGATCGATGCTCTACCCAGAATTGTAATGAAAGTTCGTCGCACGCTTAAAGGTCACTTGGCAAAAATCTATGCAATGCATTGGGCGTCCGATAAACGTCATCTTGTTTCTGCCTCACAAGACGGAAAGCTTATCGTGTGGGATGCACCCACAACTAATAAAGTACATGCTATTCCACTTCGGTCGTCATGGGTGATGACCTGTGCTTATGCACCGTCCGGTCATTTTGTAGCCTGTGGTGGTCTGGATAATATCTGTTCGATTTATAATCTTAAGACAAGAGAAGGCTCGGTTAAAGTTGCTCGAGAACTGAGTGCACATACTGGATACCTATCTTGTTGTCGATTCCTGAATGATAAACAAATCCTAACGTCCTCTGGTGATATGACTTGTATGCTTTGGGATATTGACGCGGGAATGAAATTATTAGAATTCAGTGATCATACTGGTGATGTGATGAGGTTAGTACTAGTCTTTTTTTTTCGTTTGACAGTGCCAATGTTTAATTATTATTTTTTTTTCTGATAGTCTATCGGTTGCGCCAAATCAACAAATTTTCGTGTCTGGTGCGTGTGATGCAACAGCAAAAGTTTGGGATATTCGAAGTGGACGCTGTGTACAAACATTCACCGGCCATGAATCTGATATTAATGCAGTACAGTAAGTTATACCAATGATCGTTTTATTATATTTTATGTTAAACAAATGAATTTGATGATTTCACGAATTAATTCCGACCAAATTATTGATAGATTTTTCCCAAACGGTGATGCATTTGGAACTGGATCCGATGATGCATCATGTCGACTATTTGATCTTCGAGCTGATCGAGAACTGAATCATTACTCACATGATCACATTCTTTGTGGTATTACCTCAGTTGCATTTTCCATTTCTGGGCGTCTTCTTTTTGCAGGCTATGACGATTTCAATTGCTACGTCTGGGATACGCTAAAAGGGGAACGTGTTGGTGTACTAGCTGCACACGAGAATCGTGTGAGTTGTTTGGGTGTTTCTAGTGATGGTATGGCTTTGTGTACAGGAAGTTGGGATTCTTTGTTGAGGGTAAGCAATTTTATTATCATCATATAATCTCGATAAGTTAATTTAACTAAATTTTTTTATTTTTTATTTTTTTTTTAGGTTTGGGCTTAATAATAATAACAATAATAATAATATAATAATAATAATAATAATACAGAGCATAACGATAAAATACCACAACAAAAGAAGATGTTTGTATATGCCATTCAGCATACAGAATTAATAAACCAACTTGGTTATACACGACATTGAATTTGATTCACAAAAAGAGAGCAAGCGACAGCCATTCCGTTTAATTTGGAGGACTGTGTGTCTTGTTGTATTATGTTGGGAGTGCATGCGTGTGTAGTATCATTTTATTATTTTTATTTTACCAACTTTTGGTTTTTAACTTATGCTCCATATAATTAATTTGTTGCATTATTTTTTTTTTTCTTCTCATAACATATTATATGTACATTTTTTTCAATTATTGTGTATCATTCATTATTATTATACCATTCACCCACTTCACCATAAATTAATCGAATCCGTTGAAAAAGAAATATTTAATTCCGTTATTTAATATTATATACTTATATTACTATTATTATTATTTTTTAAAAAAAGGAAAAAGGTTGGATTTTTGACTTCATGGTCTTTTATGTAATTTTATTAAAAAAGAATGAAAAAAATTATTTCGATTCCACCACTCATCACCCTCACAAAAAATACATGAAGACGTCTTTTCACCATTATAAATTCATTCTTTATGAATTCTTTTTAAATTTTTCTCCTTTGCGTCAAGATATCAACGATAGAATTGTGTAAAATGTGAATCAACAACCACCTTATTTATTTCTACTATACATCAGCGCAAAAATAATAGTAATTATTAATACGAGCCACACCTGTCTTTATAAAAATTCACATACACAACTTTTTTATTTCTATTTTTGTCTGTCTTTTCTTTAAATCACAAAAAACATGCTTAGAATTCTTATATATAACAATATATACATACATCGTCATCACAATCTACAAAAATTTACGCATATCCGCTCATAATATATTATGTCTTGGTAAAACACTAAAAAAAACAGGACGAAAGAAAATTTATTGAAGCAGTCATATGATTAATTTATTTTGTTAACGTAAATTCCATGGATCTGTATTGGCTTTATATTATGCACGGGGACGATAAAATTGCATGCACCAAGACACGTGTACATATATATTCATTTTTTTCTTTTAGCTTTCTTTTTTGGTGGTTCATCATCTTGTTCGCTAGAGGATGATCCTGACCCTTGATAATTTTCATCGTATTCTTCCGCAACATCACTCTCATTATCTTCCGCGATAAAATCTTCATCCACTATAAGAATGATTTATAAAATGCAAAAAAATATTAAATACAATCAAATCGCGTAACAGGTGGAGTAGTTTAATTATCCTCACCACTTTCGTCCTCGTCCTCTTCATTATCGATCTCCATTGGTTCAGAAGCGCCGCGACGTCTAGATTTTGGCATGACTTCCTCCTCCTCATCCGTATCGCCGAGTTCTTCAATAGCTTTATAAGCAAACATACTCTGTGAAATTATAAATACAATGATGAAAGTTTGATTCCCAATTTTGTAAGTCTATTAATAATATTATAAGAAAACACATACGTCTTCGGTCATGTCGTTTTGTGCATTTATATTTTTAGACTTCATCCATTCCTCGATATTCTTATGCTCTTCCCTGTGTTACAAATCTAAGAATTATTGCATTAAAGAAAAATATGTCATACACGTAAAGAGGATAAATTTCTCCCACCTATTTATACTAGAGAATTGAATCGCTGACTTATTTTTTAGATTAAATTTCAAGTCGAATGTTCGTGAACTTGACGCGTTGTTAGAAACTCTTGAGAAAGTAACGCTAACAATATCCTGTATGGGAATGAAGGTTGGAGGTTTCGGTATGAATAGAAAGCATTTCTCAAGAGGGTAAAGATATCCTTCGTTAGCTTTCATCGAACACTTGAAAGCTGAGTCTCCATGATGACTACATTCATTAAAAACACAGAGGGTGAACTTAATTTGATCGCTTATTCACACACACACACACATAGGGCAAACGGAAAGTCAATATTGTAATGTACCTTCGATATGAACCAGGTACAGTAACTTTTCTTTGTGTCAACCCTTTAAAGACACTACTGACAACCTCAAACAAGGGCTTATCCTCATATTTCTCCTCTAATTTATTATTGTAATTTTTCTCGATGGTCTCTCTGGTGAAAAAAAAATAAATTGGATCCATGAATATTTAAATCGTGAATGAATAGAAAATTATCGAATTCATACTTGTCCATATTCAATTCCATATCAACCTTCACATCTTTAACAAATTGTAATACCAGGAATGGGTATCGTGTTTGTCCTTGTCGAAGTGGTGGATCAAGCCCAATCTAATAGTTAATAATATGTATTTAAAAGAAATTTTCATTCAATCAATTAAATAGAATAATTACAAACCACAAACATGACGTGGACATCATCCAACTTTGGTAATAGAAACAATTTTATGACACTGGTATACTGAATCTTGTAGTCGTACGTCTTGCCACGGAGTCGCAGAAACGTGGGAAACATATCGATATTGTAGCGTCCACTAAGATAAAATATAGTAATTAATCCTTGGACAGACAGATAACTAATGATTATATAATTACCGTGGTGTCAAAAGTAAAATATCTGGGAATAGTATTATTTCTTCTCCGTTGAATTGTCCAAGATCCGCTTTTTCTTTAACAGTTTCATAGAACATCTATAAAAAAATAACAGAAAATCATGAATAATTTCTACATTA